TAGTGGTAATAACTCTGGACCTTGATGAGCCACTCTCTTAGGATGGCTGTAGTGTTATCTATGTTGTGGTCTGTCGCCACCCTGTGGGAGTGATGACAGGAGAGAGCGAACTCTGAGTAAAGAACAGTTCTGCTGGTACCAACAAGTATTAAGACTTAATTTGGCTTAAAGGGAGATGAACATGTATCATTATGTGTGAAATTTATTATTACAATATACAGCCTATTAGAGACATGCTGGAATAGCATTGGTCCCAGTCCTAGCATTAATAAGACAAGGCTGTGAATCCTAGGAAAACTATTTTTGGTCGGTGTCGCTATAAAATTCTGTTTTATTGGGTCACTGACTACATTTCAAACAACCACAGTAATCCCTGTACATGATGTACTTTTATTTATTAATATTCGGCAGCATTTATTATTCTGCCACTCAAACAGCATTTTCTCAGCAGGAGCCCTGTTGTTTTCTCTTCTGTTCTGTCTCATTTACTGCAGTCAGCTACTGTCTCTGCATAAATAGTTACACAAAGCTTCTGCTTTTGGAAGAAGAATGATCCTGTTCAGTTTTATACACTGAAGTATGGAGGTGGTAGAGAGGATTATAGATTGATTATCGGTTGTTTTCCAATCAGGATTGTGAGTTGTTTCCAAAAATCAAGTGGGAAATGTTTTGTGCATTAAGTAATAAAGTTCAAATAGTTTGCAACACTTGCCGGTGCACAAACTCAACATTTTAATATTCCAAAATCATACAGAAATGAGCATCAGTAGATCAACATGTCTTGACTGGAATAAAGCCATTTAATAACTAGGTGAAAATTTCAAATATCAATCAACTGTAGAAAATATTTCAGCCTTAAAATTCAAGTCATTTTAGATTTAATTATCCACCATCTATTTATATGGCAACAATAATTTTTTATTGTAAGGTAAAGCCCCAACAAACCTTATAATGCTATTATGGTGTTAGCAAACTAAACCTTGTTAAACATTCAACAGAGTTGGATCGAGTTCAGCATTCATTCTAGAGATAAAGGACTAGGTGTTCTAGTCCTGGTGAGGAAAGATTTAGCATCATTAAATTAGCTGATACCTGTTTCTGTGTTTTGCACCTACAGTTTATTAATGCATCTTGCTAACTAGCTTTAGCTGATAAATTGGGATTCAACCTTTTTATCCACATATGACAGTTTCAAGATAACAATAACAACATGTAAGTGGCTGAAACACCAACACTGAGGCCTCAAAATACAGAGTCAACAACCAGTGGGCTGATACAATGGCCACGTGTTTCGTACTGTCTGTGCTGTGTACTGGTTAATCACAAACTTTGTCTTGCGAAACAAAGCAACTAGAACTCTGAAGGAAACGAAACAAGCTGAAAAATGCTGAAACAGCCCACAGAGCTAAGATGTATGAGAATATTTGGGTGGTTAGCTCAAAGTCATTGCATAAGCCTCTGAAGGTTTTTTATCCATGGTCACAAACCTTCAGAGGCTTGTGTTGGAACCTAAAATTAATGTATAAGTAATGTATATAATAAATATTAGTAATACATGTTAATATAAAGCAAGGTCAATTTTCATGTGCTGCAGCCTGGCATTCTTTCAGCTGATGACACGGGGGTTCTTTTCTCTATTCTCATCCCTGACATGCATTCACCAATGCAGATTTCAGTTACAGTCTAAGTTAAAAGGTTGGATTGCATGTCTTTAGCATAATTAGAATGGTCCTTTATTGCACACATTCCACTTTGGTCCTTTACTGCTTATTCTGTCCTGTACCTGACTGCCTTTATGTGACTGCCTTGTGATTTCTGTAAGTAGGCTTTAGAAATAATTCTTCAGGCTTCTTAAAGGACACTCTGATCTTCTTTGAATGCCCCGAACGTGTTGCCTTTTATTCCATTCTCTATCAAAGTGATCCCACACCGCATTAATAACTTTGAGGTTTGGACTCTGGGGAGGCCAATCCATGACTCAAAGTTTTTTATTGTGTGTGTTTTTTATCTAAGTATGCTTTTACTGCATTGGCAGTGTTTTTAAGATCACTGTCAGACTGAAAATGAAACTGTCCGCTAGCACAGGGCGAAATGCTGCACTAAATCGTGTTTTACAAATGGATGTAGACAGTCACTGTTGTACCTGTCTGTTGACTAAATTTTTCAAATTTGGATTCATCAGTTAATAACACCTGTTGCCACTAATTTTCAGATGTGTCTCAGGTCCTGTGTTAGGTCTTTCCTGGATTTGTTCACATTTGTTAGGGTTATGTCTTTAAGACACTGTTTTGACCTTCTTGATAAAAAAAAATGTTATTTTTCATACATTCAACTAAAGAAATGACGTGTTTTTTGCGACAGGCTACTAGTAACAAAATGTCTAAATTTAAATGAAATATTTGCTAAATTGTCTGTTATGTTTAGACACGACGCTGGTTCAACACTTGAGTTGGGTGTCTGTTTTATTACTGGGTCAGTGTTAAGTGGCTCAATAAACAAAATGAAAATGACACAAAGACTAAGCTGAACATGAGTGAAATGTTCAAAGAAAAACTTGGCAATGAATATGTTGATATTTAAAGAGTGCAGTTTATTGGCAACCTAAGACACTTTAGGACATTGATAGTCTGAACCTGGAGGACAAATTCACAGTGCATAAACCCAAAAAGAGAAAAAAACTAACCCTAAAGAAAACAAACATGCTCCTGGCTGTGCTGCTCGTCTAATGGACATTTTGGGGGATTGGAAACAGCAGGATCCTCTGCTGAACACTTTTGGGTCTTAGCAAGAGACAGAACTCTCAGCACCAGCGATGATGCTGACTGATAAAATCTTTGACATCAAAGTTGACATTTTCTCTATATCCAAGTTCAAGCTCCACAGTGAATTAACAGCTACACTCCTACTAGTGCTCAAAATGAGACTCCCAGCGCTGCTGGAAGCAGTGCAGGGCTACAAAAGGATGTGACCTTGAAGAAGATAACAAGCAAATGTAAATCAGCTTTTGATTTTCATACGCTCAGTTGCTGAACTTTTTGAATGCTCTCATAATCCTTTTTATGGCCTTGCTGTCATTTGAGGTTCAAAGCGTCACATCACTAGTATCAGGTGTGGACGGGGAAAGAAAGGCAGACAATAGAGCCACAGAAGGGGAGGGTGGCATTCAGCTGCTCTCTGTGCTATCATAACAAATCTAAGTGTGTCAGGGAGGGGCAGAGACAAAGACAGAAACACAGACGGAGCGTGAAAGAGGGAAAGAATGTGTAACACGGCAGAAATGGATTTAACTCCAACCCTGTCATGTAATGAGCGTCAGTCAACGTGCTGCTGATGTTAGCCTTCCCATCTGTCTGTGGCGTTTTTAACACAGCAGTGTCATCTCAGCACCTACATGTGACCAGCTAACCAATCTATCTTCTTCTCCCACGCTCTCTCTCTCTGCATGTGTCTACTTCTTTTCTCTCTGTTGGACACAAATTTCTGACAGCTGTGAAGTTCTGAATGGCCAGAGGTAGTGAATTAAAAAGGGTTTGTGAAAAATAAATATGTGCGATTGCAGCCATGCCTAACGGATATGAGAGTGCTAGGGGAAAAAAGGCAGGAGGAGGAAGATGATTTATGGCTTGATGATAACATCCCCACTGCATGTCCCTGCAGAGCACACACACTCACCAGTGTGTGTGTGTGTGTGGTTGTGTGTGTGTGTGGCCGTTTGCCAAGTATTTCATCTTAACCTGTCACGTTGATAACTGCAGACATCGACAGGTGGCAAGCCAGCAGCTCAGAATATATCTTTCACACTGCATTTCAAAACTTTTTATATCAGCTCTTCCACGGAGAGATGAGCTATGTTGTATATCAAAGCGAGCCCGCTGAAAACTGGCTGCCACATGGGCATGGTTAAAATCAGGCACAAATATCTGGCTCAGACACAAGAAAAGAAGCTCAACATCCAGGTTGGTTTGTTTGAAGAGGCACACGGACACTTGAATCCCTCGTTCTGGGTCTGATGGAAAAAGTTTCAATTCAGCATTTAAATGAAGCACGGCATCCTCTGATCAAGCAGCCATTTCACAGGAGTGACTGATGTTTAGTTTTAATTCCCCTTCCTGCTGTCACATTAAACGCAACTCTGCTAGAGGCGTTTAGCCCCTCATTTTCCTTCATTAGACCACTGGATTGCCAACTAGGATATAATCTAACCTGTCAGGTGTGAATGCTGATGAAAAATTTAAAAGAATCTCTCAATTTTCAAGAACAGATATACTAGCAGGGGATCACAGGAAGTTAGCAGAGCTGGAGACAGGAAAAATCTAGAAGGAGGGGGGCTGGGTAGCAACAGAAAAAAAACAGCCTTAAGGTAAAAGAAGATAAGTCCTGCGGAGGCGTTTTAATACACGGGCTCACATTCACAGTCTATTGTGTCTGGTCGCATTGTAAAAGATGTATTCAAAATTGTTTTAAATACTAGTTTTGTTTCCAGACGACTTTGGGAGACGACGATGATGAAGGGGAAGAGGGAGGGGAAAGAAAGGGGAGGGATAGGGGAGAAAGAGCGGGACTATGTAAGAGAAGCTCCGTGACTGAATGGAACTTTTCCTGGGCTTGACTCTGCAGGCGGAGTTCGCCCTCCCTGCTCTGCCAGCTCAGGTCCACACAGTAGGGGAAGCCACGCTGCTCCCAGTTGCACTCATTTCATCACTGGTGTCATTTACAAAGATAAAGCCCACGCTGCATATGTGTTCCCACAGCTTTAGAACACAGCGCCCCCATCTGATCGAATCTCACAAGCGCACGCGCAAATGCACGCAGAGTTTTCCTCTATAATTTAAACCCGGGCTCGACGTGTCTCTCGTGCGCCACTGAGAGCTTACAGTGAATCCCATTTTGTTGTACTTTAGTCAGCTAGTTACTTTAATATGTTGACACGACACACTGATGACACTCACCACAGCGCAATGCGGTCCTTCGGGTAGTTCAGGCGCTCGATGGTTCCGAGGAACAGCGGCAGAGAGTGCGCCGAGTTGCGACAGACCAGCGCGATAACGACCCGGGGAGCGAGGATCGGAGACTCGGGGCTCCAGCGCTCCTCGGGGAAATAGCCCCAGCTCCGGCCCGGCAGGAGAACGAACAGCAAGGTAAGCAGTAGCGAGGTGACCCGGTGCATGGCAGGGGCGAGTAACTCCTAGAGGCCAGGGCGGACAGGAGAAGGAGACTGGGGGATGTAGTAGCCGAGGGTCCCGCTGTTGTATTATGCCGACAGTGTGTACATGGCAGAAGAGCTGGCTGAATTAAAGGGCAGGTCTTGACTGCTTTAAGGGGAACTCTCTACTGTCCAAAGGCCGTTGCTTCGCAGCCGCTATGCACCACAGTTACAGAGAAAATTAACCGTGAGCTACTGACAGGTTAAGCTAGAATGAATCCTACCTATATATATATATATATATATATAAAACAACCTTCTCTTTCCTATAAGGCCGACTGGACTCACTTTGCCATATACTGCCCTCCCCTTTAAGAATAGATCCAGCTGTAGCAGATGGAAAGCCATTTGGGCGTGTCGGATGTGTTGAGCACACTGCAGGCCTGTCATACCTCTGCAAAATATCGTCCAGAAACTCTAAACTAAGGGGATTTACGCTCTGCTTTGGAGCTACTGTTTGAATAAAACCTTCATCTCATGCCGTGTCCCATAATCATGCATCTGTTATACCCAAGTGACAATATAATCAGGATAATGACAATAATGGTGATTTTTGTATACAGAAATATTAATTACAGAGCAAATAATTAAAATCATGGTGTACAGCTAACCTAAGCACTACCAGGCATTTTAGTGATTAACGCTAAATTTGAATGATTAAAATGAAAGATATTAGTGAGAAATGATTCCCGGATCTCAACGTGAGAAGAAATCCGCAGGTATAAGATTGTGTAATTGGCCAGTGTTGAGTCTTTTTGCTGGAAAGTGGTGGCGCTGAAGGTACTGCAGTACCCCCTAGTGGATAGAGATGACCTACATGTCCACAATTACAAATGAAAACATAAAGTACAACTCAGACTCCATAAGCTACTTTTATTTTTCCTTATATTTTTTTTCTTGGCTGCTTGCTTTAGTGGTTGCCATAGTGGATCATCTGCCTCCATCTCCACCTATTCTTAGCCTCCTCTGTCACACCAATCCTCTGCATGTCCTCCCTCACTACATCCATTTATCTGTGCTCTTCCACTTTTCCTCCTGCATGGCATTTCTACAAGAAGTATCAGTATAACTACCTTTGTCTTTGCCATCATATCAGCTAGTACTCTCTGTTTACCAGCTATAGCTTACACCTACTCTCAGCTCTTCACTTCTAACTTCCCTCCTCTCTTGTCGCCTCCCCCTCTCCTCTTCCTTTGTCTTCGGCCAACAGTACCGTAGTTTCCACAGGCTCCTTGTTGGCCAACAGCACCAGAGGCAATCATTGTTAATCTCCGACCAGTGCGGAATGGGACCCTCTTTACTGGTGCTCTTTAATATACAGTGCACTGGCTTGTCCCCATATACATGCATACATACATAATACGATTTTAAACACTATGAATCCAAAGTAGAAGTGCGCTTTTGAAAGCATTCAGTATGGCCACTTTTTAATGGTTTGATACAGCAATCCATTTCTGTTATTAAGCATATTATTAACTACCTGTTAATAATAATCACTGATCAATGCATTTATAAACACACAGTACTCGCAAAAGTCCTGAAGCATTCCTCATTTATTTATAATTTGCTTTAAAAAAGACAGACTTTATTGTTTAAGTGGTCTTGAGCTATAGTCTTCCGTGATTTCTGAAGGTCTTTTAAAGGTTGTTTTTTTTGGACATGGGTTGTGCTTCAACTAATTTTTAGACCAGAAGACACAGCAGACAAGGGTGTCACTGTTGTATTATACTGACATGAGATTGGATTAGCGCTGGCTGAATTAAAAGGCAGGTCTGAACTGGTTTCAGGGGAACTCATTGTTATCAAAAGGCCATTGCATGCCAGCTTGTATGCACCACAGCTACAGTAACATTGAACTGTGAGTGAGGTACTGAGAGGTTAGGTTATGATAAGACAAATCCTCCTTATGTATTCAAACAACCTTGTCTTTTTAATAAAGCCATCTATACTTTCCCTTTGACATATGCTGTCCTCCCTTTTAAGAATACATCACACAGTCTGCTCCTTGTACCTGAGCATTACAAAGTTTTTTTTTTTGTTTTTTTTTGTTAAGCAACGCACTTATGACCCATTCAAACATAAAAAGGCATCTAACTAAATGGATGTGTTGTGTCTACACATACAGACAGCTTAGGAAAGGAGCAATTTTAAATTGTGTCTTTAGGCACTTTGTTAATAGCAGCCTATCACGGACAGTGACTGTCTGCAGCCATCTGTAAAACACACCGGAGGCTCTGAAATGGTTTGGTGCTGTATTTCATCCAGTGATGTTGGGGATCTTGTGAAAAGAACTCTGGAACTATGAATAGATACATTTTAATCTACCGTATTATATCAGCTGTTTGGCAACAGATTCATGTTTCAGCCTGAAAATAATTCCAAATGCATTCACAATGCATAAAAAGCATAAATTAATATAAAACCACACAGTGAAACCATTAGTTATGGATTGGCCTCCCCAGAGCCCGGACCTCAACGTTACAGAAGCAGTGTGGGATCATCTTGAGAGCATGGAACCAAAGGAAGCCAAAATTCAAGAAGAACTTGGAAATACCATTCAAGAAGCCTGTAGAACAATTCCTGAAGACTACTTTAAAAAATTACAATTTTGCCTAAGAGAGTTCAGACTGTGTTGAAGAATAATGGCGGTCATAACAAATACTGACTTTCAAGCTCTTTAAAATTGTACAAATAATAATTGTATTATATATATATATATATA